TTGTTGCTTGTTGCTTCTTGCTCAGTCTGTGGCCATATGAAGCCCAGACAGAGTGAGCAAGAGGGATGCAACTTGACGGGGACCACTTTTGAAGGTCGCTTGATGCTCGCTGCCCCTAATTTGACAGCGCCAATGGCCTGATGGGAGATTGGAGGGGTATCGGGAGCTAGAATTCTAGGAGAGGCCTTGTATATAAAGGACAAAGGTTGCCCCTAAGTGCGATATGAGTAACTCGAATCTCAGACCCAATTGGTCAAAAGATCGGGTCGGCATAGGTAGGACCAAGGGTTGGGAAGGTCTGGTGGTAGGAACAGATTTGCCAGAGAGATATTAGAGTTGGGAGAGGGCTAGAAGAATTGTTAGAGAAAAGAGTTGGCCTAGTGTGTCACCGGCCTTGGTGGACACAAGGCCATTGGCGTGGTCTAGGCCGGTGGGACAACACAAGTGTGCTTGATGCTGACACCACCGGTGCTCCCATAGTTAGCACTGGTGGCGGTACCTAATATTAAGATAAATAGCTCTTATATTGCGATTATCTGTGGGACCCAAAATAAACTAATCCTAAAAATATAGGACAAACCATTCTCTTCTACATGTGTCCCTTCCACATTACCTTACTTAGCCCGAGAAAAAGTGTAACCCATTAGATCCCACAATGGATGCGCTTGAAAAACTTCCTTTCAACCTTCACACTCGACCCTTATTGATAAGCATTCCATGTCTAGCAATGGCAATATAACCCATGATGCTAAAATCCTCCCATAAGAGCGATGCAGATCAACATCTGGTTGCTACATAATTTTAATTTTATTTTTGTTAATTTTATTTTTAGAGATGTAGATGGAATTTTTGTTTTTTATTAGGATTAATTGTTAAAAATAGGATTTTTAGGTTAGTTTGATAAAGTCTTTTTATTTTTTAGGAAAGTGTGTTTTTTTTTTGGAAGTATAAGTCATTTATTTTGTGTAAGTACGTTTTCTTGTTTCCTTTGCATGATTATTTTTTATTTTAAAAAAAAAAAAAATTTGTTTCGTAGGGTATCCTTGTTTTTGTGAGGTTGACTTGTCTTTGTTTTTTTTAGTACATTTAAATTGAAATAAATATTGGGAGTTATCTGTTGGAGGAGTCCCTTTTTGTGGAGTTATTTTAAGAAGATGAAGCAAGTATGTTTTCTTTCCTTTTAGTAAGTATTAGATTGAGTTGGTAGTCATTTTTTTTTTTCTTTTTTTTTGTTTTCTTTTTTTAATAAGTTCTTCCTTATCTTTTGGATAAGGAAGTTCACATGATATGAAGATCCCCATTAGGATTAATGTTGAAGTGGTGGACTTCTTTTTTTGTAAGGAGTGTTAGAAAACAAGTTGTTTAGTATATAAAAAAAGAACACGCATAATGTATTGGATATTGAATTTTGATAGAATAAAAAAAATGTTATTTTTTAGAGAGAGAGAGAGCGAGGGAGCACAACACTTATTCTTTTCATCTCCTCTTGTTGATGGTGCATAGTAGAGATCTTGAATCACCATGTCTGTGCATTTTGCAAATCTTTTTTTAGTTTTTTATTTCTCTCTAAAAAGGCGGTTGTTTTGCCAGTTATTAGCAGCCAGTAATTTCACCTGAGATAGTGGTATCAGAGTGTTAATCGATTTTTGTGGATCATAGTGTAAATCGATAGGCATCATGGCTCATGGACATAACATATGGCTGAATATCAAGAATGAGCCCATCCAACAAGAATAAGATCTCCAAGAGATTGAGATAGAATACTTGAGAAGGTACGTGGAGGAACTAACCCAACACATACACACTATGATGAAGGTAGTGAGTTGGAAACTATTTTCAAGAGTCCATTTTATGGACACGCTCCGTGTTGGGAGACACATGGTTGGGAGACTAATCTACTTAAATTTGATGAAAATCTAGTTGAAGGTGAAGAGCAAGTAGGTTTGGATTTGCAATTGAAATCATCATTCATTGAGGTCATGTAAGATCCTATTTTTAATGAAGGTTTTCGATTTGATGGAGAACAAGATGAAAGGAGAGAAATTGGCCTTGAGGCAGCAATGATATTTAACTTTCTGATTAATAAAGAGATAGACAAGCAAGAAATCAACCCAAACCCAAAGGAGATCATGGCTATGAAAATATTTGATGAAGAAAAGAATGAAGGCCTCAAAGGATAGTTAATAGGTGAAATTTGTTCGACCATCGAATCTAGTGCTCATTTCAAAGATGTATACGTGGTGTGATCTATGGTTAAGTTTGAACAATTTCAGCAAGTTTATATGGCTGAACAGATTCTATTGCATATAACGACCCTTTTCCTATGGACTAATCATTATCAATGCACGATGGTGTTGGGTGTGTTTTCAGTCACATACGAGGACCAAATGCATTTTAATATTGATATAATAGCCAAGCTTCATATGAGGCTTAATGAAATACCACATGTGATGCAAATATATGATATGATCAAGATCCATCATATAAAAAACTTGACATACCTAAAGGAATATTGACTCGTTAGTTAGTCCTTAAAGGTTCTAACTCACGACTGATAATACCAAATGCTCGTCAGCAACATAAAATGGTGAAGCCATCTCCTTTTACGACAAGTTCTAGGATATATATATTCTTATGGCTCTATGTAGTTCTATCCATGTGATATATGGAGGATCAGATACGGCTTAATATTGGCATCTATCGTTGGTTATACACATGTGCTATAATTTATGGCCAATGATAAGAGATCATGAAGATGTTTCTATTTAAGACTGAACTCCGGAATGCATATATTCCCCGGCATATAAATGCCTCTCTACTAGATATTGGATGAGTTCTAAGTGAGATGTGTTGTGCCTCTTTAAGACACCTATCATATGTTTAAATAATGGGGTTTGACCGATGGGGCTTAAAAGAAAGCTCGTCTTAATATATTGAGGTGAATTCCTAAAATATATATAGTAAGGCTTCATGTAACTTAAGGTACAAGGGTGATATGACTTGAGCGATATTTGGACCTTGCTTAACCCATATCTGCAACCACCATCAGTTTGGATCTGTCCTAACTGATACCCCGAAGCTCGATGCTTTCGGGACCAAATTGAAACTCTCAAAAAACCGTGTCGAAGTGTCGTGACCCTTTTCTTGAAGTTTCATATTAATAGCTTGTTGACTATATCTCGTGCATTGCAGATATAACGGCATTCAACTACTGATATTGTAATTTTTCTCTTAATGTGTGGAATTTTTCAAGAAACTAGGATCATTAGATCCTCGATCTGATTACCCTTAAAACGGTGTGGAAATGTTCTATACAAGTGAAAAAAGTATATTCAGCGAGATCAACAAAAAGGTGAACCAACGAGTTTAAGGACGACCCAAGGAATGCCAATATCCATTCTTGAGTGAATTCATTCTTAAATGGAAAAAGTTCATATAGAGCCGAGGCTCTAAGCAATCAAATTAGAGCCCACCTCAAAAATTTCATGATTGTTTTGATGCCCAAATAGCATCAAATTGATCATCTAGACGTCAAGATGTATGTATACGAGAAAAAAATGGATTTCAAAGTCTGAAAATAGCGCATCTTGTAATGCATTTATTGATTGTCAATTATCAAGATTTTCAAGTTTTCATAGATCTGTTCAATCTACACTATTTTTGACGCTTCAAATCTTATAATTAAATATGAAAATTTATTTTAAGGCTATCACAAAGATTTTCAGTATTGAAACCACATTTCTCAACCCTATTTGAAGGTACGCTATATTTTGATTGTTTAGCACCTCGGCTCTATACAAACCTCACCCTTCTTAAATACCATGTAAGAGAAAGTGTTTGGGTCATGACCCGGACCCTAGAGTTTTCCTCAAATAAATAATATAATGAGAAAGTGTTTGGGTCTGGACCCTCCCTCTCTCTCCTTGCGTTTTTTTCTCTCTTTTTGACGCATACGTCGGCCTGCAAGACAAACACAAAATAACCACGATTTTGTCCGCATGCTTAAGTCGCGCCTTGCCTTTAAAGCTCTATTTTTCGAAATAATTGAAGGTGTGGCATATGCCCTATTTTTTCTAAAACAATACAACAAGACCTTATCTTCACTCAAAAAGACCAAAACGAATAAAGAAAAACCCAACACTCCCACACTTAACGCCTAATTAATCAACAAAACTACCACCCAAGTTTACCTTTTCATCCTTTTCCCAAGACATTCATCCAAAAACAATCTCTCATGTATATAAAGTTATGGGTGTATATGGCCGTGGTCCTAAACGATCAAAGTAAGCCGTAATTTCAAATAGAATCGAAATATATGATTTTAATATTAGAAATATTTATGATAGCCTAAAAATATATTTCTATCTCTAATTATAAAAATTAAATTTTAAAAAATTGTTTAGATCAAGCAGATCTATGGATACTTAAAACTTGAAAATCTTGAAAATTGACGGTCAAAAAAATACATTACAAGATGCATTATTTACAAGACTTTAGATCTATATTTTCTTATATCTATACATCTTGAGGTCGAGATGATCGAATTGAGGATTTTTCAGTATCAAAACAACCATTTCAAGTAAATTGTTAATTACGACTTAATATGGTTATTTAGGGTCACACCTTTCCATGAACTTTTTCCATAAAGTTATAAACCTTTCCTCTCAACGCACTACCTAAGCGGTCTCATAGAATTTGAAAAGGGAAATTGTTTCATGCCGCCGGGACAGCAGTTCTATATTTGCGGTTCCTGAAGAATGAATCTTAAAGATGGATGCATTACATGGTCCATGTAAAAATAATTAAAATTAAGGGTCATCATTTTTTAATCAAATTATTATTTTAATTTCAAATTTTATTTATTTTTTTATTCTTTAACAATTAAGTCAAAAAAATCCATCTCAAAAATAAATTTTTTTTAGAGGTGACTCATTTCGCATAGACTCATAAAAACCATGTGCATTTGAAAATGTATATTGTTTTGATCGTTTAAAGTAGAGGTCTTGAATAAACCGTACCCTTTAGTTGTCTCTACCAAAAGCCTCTCGCCATGAATGAAGAAACCACCACCGGAAGCAACACCACCATGACCACCACAAAGGGAAAAACCAACCGCATACTTCTCCTCCTCACTGTCCTCCTCCTCGTGGTCGGAGCCTCCGGCGCCCCCCTCGTCTCCCGCCTCTACTTCATTCACGGCGGCCAACGCAAGTGGCTCACCGCCTGGATACAAACAGCGGCTTTCCCCATCCTGTTGATTCCTCTCTTTCTCTCCAAAATTTCCAGCACAAAAACCTCACAATCTCAAAGAAGACAGTCCCATCTTACCTTTCCCTTGGCCCTTCAAAGTGCCAGCATAGGCCTGCTTATCGGCATCGACGACTACATGTATGCTTTCGGTCTCTCTTACCTCCCCATTTCAACCTCCACTCTCCTGGTTTCAACTCAGCTTGGCTTCACCGCCTTCTTCGCGTTCTTAATTGTTGGCCAAAGGTTCACTGCCCATACAATAAATGCTGTGGTTTTGTTGAGCTTGGGTTCGGTCTTGTTGGGGATCAGGGCCAGCAGTGATAGGCCTGAGGGCGTGACGGGTGCACAATATGGGCTCGGGTTTGTGCTCACACTCGGTGCTGCTGCTCTTATTGGTTTGGTGTTTCCTTTGATTGAGTTGGTGTATGTGAAGTCTAAGCAAATTGTGACGTTTGGGCTGGTCATGGAGATGCTTCTTGTTATGTCGGTGGTGGCCACAGGGTTCTGCACAATAGGAATGGTTATCAACAAGGACTTTCAGGTAAGGGATGAAGTGATTTTAGTTTTTTTTTTTTTTGCTGAAAACTAAACCTACTCTGCTTTTATTGTTTTTGCTGAAAATTACTCTGTTTTCATTGTTTTTGCTCAAAACTACTATGTTTTCTAATTCAAAAATAATATAAAGGAAAATTATTCCAATATTATGAAATTATTTGATTTTTCGTAAAATGTAATGGACGGTGGCAAAGTTCACACTTGTTTTGTTTTTTGGTTTAGTTTTGTACGCAGTCCCATGTCGCAAACATTGGACGGATGGCTGTCAGGAAAGAGAGTAGTTATCGGTATTTCGCCCAATATTGGACTGCCTTAAAGTGTTTTTTTTTGTTGTTTTTTTTTTTATTTTTAAAAACCAAAAAAGCTTTTTGTTTTTTTTTTTTTTTAAAGGCCTAGAAAGCAGTTTTGATCGGGCAAACATTGGACCAACGCCTCTCTTGGCTATGTATTTTTGGATAAGTGACTTGGCTTTATATTTTTGGGAAGCCTTGCGGGCTCACAAACGTTGGACGGCTCGGCTTTGTATTACTCCACTTAAACAACTTTCCTATAATTGTCAAAGAAATTAAAAAATATAAAAAACCGGTTTACTATTTGAAACAGCAAACCTAGGAGTAAACTTAAAAAAATAAAAAAGACGAGCAGGTGCACTGGGTGTTGTAAAAATGTTCAAGTCTTTAAATACCATATTTGAATATGGTATATACGTAATTTCCCCGACCCCCCGTACATACATAATTCCCCGGCCCCTCCAAAAAGAATACAATCTATGATAAGCTTAATTTTAAAAGGTGGTTTGCTTTCTCTAAATGGCTATCGTTATGCAAGCCGTGTGATGACTCGCAGATGAGGCTTTGCCTCTGTCTTTGAAAGTCACCATCACACACAAGGGTCACACAGTCCCTCGACTCACTCATCGAGAGATGACCTATTAGAATCTTTATCGGATAGTTTTCTATACCCAGGTAACATAGGTTTTTCCCGACCGACTAGTCAAGCTCGTCAAGATTAGTACAATATCGGTAAACATTGTTTGCTTAGTATGGTCCACGAAGGACCACACTTTCACTAAATTCATGATCGACCGTATCATTTCATTTTACAAGCACTCATAAGGCTTTTAATGGCCGGAAAATATTTCTATGCTTCCCCTACAGCATAGAAGTTATATCCTCCTCCTACCATCTAGCCGTCCAATTTTGATCAAGGGAGCCACTCACCGTTTGATCTTAGATCCGATGTCTCAAAGTATTTTATTTTAAGTTTTTTTTATACAAATTGTATGAATTTGAAATTTGGTACGTGCCATCATCTCATTGGGGCGTACCTATAAAAAATATTAAAAGTAATTTTTTGATAATATATAACGACCACAATACCCTTTAAAAGTTTTAGGGGTATTTTGGCCATTTTATTTTAGAGGTATTTTAGTTAATTTTTTCTAGTGTGATTTAATAGAGGAATGGACGTTCAAAATTTAGTGTCAAAATAGTTTTTAGAATAAAAATTAAAAATAAAATAATGTAAAGACGTAACATTGTGATAGAGGCAATCTTAACCCTCCATTCAAAATAAATGGTTGAATGATAGAACTTCTATGCCGTAGAAAAAGCACGGAAAGCGCCACATTCACCCAACAAGAAGAATATTCAACTGAGGGTTTTTTCAGGGGGAATAAGTAATTTTCCCGAAGTTCATCTATAGGATGTTATCGTTTGCATTATTCCCGAGATGGAGGTTTGTAGGAGCGATGGAGGAATAAAATGGGTAGGTGAGACTGTATGGGATTCTTTTAGATAAGCGAACCATTATTTTATCAAGTCTGTCACATTTCACGGAGGACTGGAGTTATTTTACCTTTGCCAAGAAATATTTTTCACCAGGTCTCAAGCAAAAATGATTTCTATTATAATTTATAATATACTAATTGAAATAAGATATTATTTATTGTTTACATATATAAATTATTATATGAATTTTTACAACTATTGGGCTTGGGGTCCCTTTTTTTTGGACGGACCTCAACCCACTCTATAAAAAAATTAAAAAAAAGATGGATTTCCACATAATATATAAAAAATATGGATCAAATAGTAATTCTGGTGGAGTTTTCGGTCCATACGTAAGTATTTCTAATGATGATGATATATTGATTATATATATATATATATATATATATATATATAATTTTTTATTTTTTTATTTTTTTTTTTCGTCCTTAGAATAAGTGTTTTTCTAGTACACAGTTGTGAGTAATTAACTAATAACCGCCATTTTAGATTGAATAAGTGGATTATTTATAACTTGCAGGTTATTTCAAGAGAGTCAAAAGAATTTGGATTGGGAGAGTTTAAGTACCATTTGACAGTGGTGGCAAGCGGCATATTGTGGCAAGTTTTCTTAATCGGAAGTTTCAGTTTCATCTTGTACACCTCTTCTCTCCTCAATGGCATTCTTTTGGCAGTGCAATTGCCTTTGACCAGCATATTAGCAGTCATCTTTTTCCATGAGAAGTTTAGTGCAGAAAAGGGCATGGCCCTGGTTTTATGTTTGTGGGGGTTTGCCTCTTACTACTATGGAGAACACATTCAATCAAAGAAGAGGGAGGAGGTTGTAAGGGATATAGAGATTAACCACTTGTAATAGCCATAAGATATTAAAGGGGATCCTCATGCCTGGTTGGACTCCAAAATCCAACTAATCAACCCAGTTGTCTGAAGCAGAACTTAGAAAACACGAACTGGGTGTCGACTTGGACACTCGAATTTGAGTCGGCTCACTGATTCCTGTTTCAGTGAGCCAATTTTGGGTGAGTCAGTCCTGAAAAACCACATGTCAGTTGTGAATTCAAGTTGTGGAAATTTTGTTCCAAGATCTTTTGAATTTCATGGAAAATTTTGTGTTAGGTGAAAAATTGAATTAATCCTTTTTACATGATATGAATTGGGTTTAATTTTTATTAGGAGTTCTAATTTTATTAGAATTAGGATTACGATGTCTAAATAAAGTCCATAAATAATAAATAAATTTAGATTTTTAGTTCAGATTTGAGAAAATTTGAAAACATCATTTTCTTGAGTTCTAGCGAATTATACAAAGCCATTGAAGTTAGGTTTGGTAGCTTTCGTTTTAGTCTCAAAACAATTATGTAGTATCACCAAATGTTGCTCTCTCTTTGAACTTAAATTAAAGTGAAACCCAAAAGACAGATCTTTACCATGGATTTGTCACCATAAGTAGCAAAAGAAGTTTACAAGACGCAGAGTTCATCCACAAACCTGATCTTCATCTTACAAGAAATTCCGTCTCCCAAAACTGGGCATAATTATTGGCATTTACCGTTGGTCTTTTTTTTTTTTTTTGAACAATTAACCGTAGCTTTTCATTGATGAAATGAAAAATTACAAAAAGGAAAAAAAAACAAAAAAAGCAAAATCAAGAAAGGTGAGAAGCAGAAGGAGTAGTCCGGGGAAGGTGACACAACGATGCCTCTGACCAAAGCATCCACGCTTCTATTCCTCTCCCTATAAACGTGTACAAATTGAATCTCCCTACCACGAAGGAAAAGTTCTATTCGATCCCTGATATGAACCCTCTACCTAGGGATAGAAGAAGGCATTCTACGCCGCTTAATAACATTCATAGAATCTCCTTCAATGACCACCCGAGTGCAAATGTCTTAAATAACATTCATAGAATCTCCTACAGTAACCACCCTCGAGTACAAGTTTCGTCCAACCTGTTGACCCATGAAAGAGGGCTAGATATATCCTTGGACATTGCTCATATATAAATAATTAAAAATCAATACGGATGTACACATTGCATACATAAATTATTAAAAATCAATAGGGGAACATGAGAGGATTCCAACTCGGTTCATTTTGAGCTACCCTGCTCATTCTACTGCCATTTGTTCCACTTGTTTGATATTCTGTAAAACAGAGAAACAATATTAAATAGAACAAAAATATAAAATTCAAAAGTATAGATATATCTAGCAGTACCAATTATTTAGGTGGACATAGTGAACACCTGATATACTCATAGACACCAAAACTTATATCAGTATCCACATAACCCTGGTTTTTGCAACCTTCAACAAAGAAAAATACATGTCAAGAAAAAGAAATGATTCCTCCTATATGAAGATAGTTTACATCTCAAAATTGTAGTTGAACCATTAGAGAACTGGAAATCAAACATATCTGCCATAAATCCTGATCCTTATATTCACTTCAAGATATAAGAATTACAATTATCACTCGTGATATAAAATATTGACATACCAAAACATCGGTAATCTATTGATTTTATTTTAAAAAGCCGGGGAAAAAATTGGGTCAAAAAAATACGGATCGCCAAGAAAAAGATAAGTTATAGAATAGTGAATATTTCGGATTTGTTTAAAAAAATGAAGTGAAAAAATCGGATGTGTAAAGATGAAATAATATATGATTTGTAGCTATTATATACATATATTACAACTATTAAACAATAACTTTATAGCTTTACTAGTGTCATTAGAATAATACTTGTAATTTTTGTTGAAACTTTTAGTGAATCCAGCGACAATACTTACTCTGTTGTTACAACAAAAATGTATGTAGATTTATTGGGAGCATAAAATGAAACAACAAAAACAATAGTAAACACAATAACTAATTAGCAAATAACAAGGACTGTAAACCAAGGTATAGAATTATTTTTCAAAGAAATGTTATGTTGTATACGGCGAAATGTAATGTTGTATACGCCGATGAAATAAAAAATAAAATATGAAATTAATCAAACCTGTCTATGCATTAAAAAAAGCAACAAAATGGTCAAGCAAATTTGAATCTTGCACTGATTTCATAGATACCTAAATATTTAATATCATTCAATCTCTCTTGTTCTTTATAAAGACGCTATGGGTTTAAAGCTAAAAAAAAGATTTTTCATTCGGTTACTCTTCTTCTAATCCTACCTATTATGTTAAGATATACAATTGCTTTGATTTTTTTTTTTGGAGAATATATTGCTTGTATTTTTTCGTACACTTTTTTAAGGGAACTCATTGGTGAAATGTTTTATGGAATTTTTTGTTAAATCAAGATTCTTAATTTACTCCCATTGCTAATGTACTACTTATCTCTAAACCAAACTTTAATAATATTAACCTATTGAGGAAATAAAGTTATAGCGAATAAATTTTTTTGAAAAGAGATAAAATACATATTTATATTGGTTCCATTATAAAAACGATATTTGTTGAACATCTTTTGAAAAACTCGGGGTTCTTAAAGAAACTAAGAAAATCAAAGATTTTTTGAAAAAATCATATTTTGAACAAAAACATGCTAACTATGGTATTAGTACTACCACCACGACCACGTACAGCCCTAATATTTGACTTTTATTAGGAAAGGGGCCGAGGGATAGAGAAAGCTTTGTGGCCCATTTGCATATGCTGCAGGAATGTGATGCCCACCAACTCTGTAATCAACATTTATGAGGACATAAAATTACTTTCCACCAAAGGGGTTAACAATATTTGTATATTATCATTTCCTCTCCATAAAATCTACCCAATTTGAAACTAGCATGAAATTGGTACTTTTAGAATTGGAATATTTGAAGAGGAGATTGGAGAGCTGAAATAATTGGGCGCCTTTCATAATGAGGCAACCAGTGGGCACTTTTGCGAAAGTCCGAAAGATTTTGTTCTAACGCTAGAGCATACTGCCCATTTACTCCATTAGGTGAACAGCAACACAGGAGTACTTCTAGAACCCCAAATTTTAGGGGTCTGCCCTCTTTAACCTAGTGACTGGCTTAAGAAGAATAAATTTTCAATGTGCAGTTTATATGTGCCTACTACAAATAGGGAAAGTATTCAATGAGACCATTTATTTTTGGTGCTAGGTGGTTGTGTTAATCTTGATCATTGGATGTAAAATTGGATGACTATAAGTTCAAAGTTCAAAATAAAAATTTTTGAAATTTGAGAAACTCAAGCTATCACATTTCTGCATCGGATGATTACAAATAATTGTAACCTCCTCATACCAAAGGTAAATGGTCTCATTGTATAGAGTACCTTAGAACTAACATCGCAAGATTGAATAAAGATCTTATTTTTGGAGGGTAAGATCTAAGTATTGAAGAACCCAAAATCTAAATTGTTTGTTTGAAAATGATCATCAAGTTAGTCTTGAGCGGATTACAAAATTTTAGATTAGAAAAAAATATTCTAAATTGCGTTTCAACGAAGGGAATAAGTGAATATTGTGCTCCTACCATATATTAGTCTATGTGCTTAAAAAAATGATTTGGAAATTTACCAGCCCAATTTATTTGAACTTGACTCTCCTTTGCGGGGGCCACAAAGTTGGCTCTATATGGCATGATAGAACTTGATGTTACACATTGCTCATATTGAACATGCCTGATGGGATGGCCACCATATAAATCTCATTATATAAAACAACATATAGCGTCGACTTGACCAATAATAAAGGTAATAGCTGCGCCACATGGTAATTAAATTGAATAACTGTGATAATCTCAAAACAGATAACTAAAGTCTGATACACATTTTCTGCCTGATTGGTTCCCATATATAAATATCCCTTAAATATCTATAAGCAAAAGAAGACAAAAATAATTTTAAACCTAAAATAAAATAACAAAAAAATAAAAACACCCACACCATCACCTTCCCTTATATTACCCAGCTTTTGACTGGTTTCTCGAGGCCACCGCTCATCTAGGAAAGGAGGACGACACCAAGTCCTCGTTTGATAGGCTTAGGAGGATGTCTGACTAGGAGGTGCGATCATGGGTCCTCGTGGTTAGGGCTGCCACTGGGTTGGGCTGGGCTGAGGCCCGGAAAATCCTAAAACTTCTTTGGCCCGACCCTACCCGGCCCATCTAGAAAAAAAAAGTATTCTTCACATTTTTTTTGTTTGTATTTATTTTTTTATATTTTTATTAGATTCTCGTATTTTTAAAGAACAGACACTAAAAAATTCAAGTGATTTGGATTTATAAATAAACATTAAAAATTAAAATGTAAAATGAAGTCGTAACCATTGGATCAAGTCTAGATTCAATATGAGCCGTTGGCTGACACTATAACAGTTAGCTGGTCAGCTGATAAGAACCATTCCCTATATATATATATATATATATAATATTTTAGTGTAATCTTTTGTTTCTTTAAAGAAAAAAAAAATGTGATATTCACAACTTAGAGAATTTGTATGCCGTGTTTGGGTCGCCATAAGGGAATAGTCGTTCCTCTAGAAAGAAATGGACAGTTCATCTTGTGCATAAAATGCAAGTTTTTTTCTCAGAGAGAAGATAATATGGAGAGAAATATTGAATATTGAGAGGTTTCGTTCTTGTAGAGAAGCGGAAGTAGTTGTTTATTGTAGAGAAGCATTTCCCATTGAGATTTTGGATAGTTCTCCTTTTTAGTGAGATAAAGTTTCGTTTGCTCTCAAAGTTCTCTACATAGATAGTAGTCTAATTATGATATCTTTTCAGACAGTGGTCTAGTTATGGAACAGAGATGAGAGATTGGTAGTGGTACCGTTGGGAGAGCAGGTTTAAAAGGGTTTATTCAACTTGAGTTTTTGTCGAGGTTTAGAGAGGTAACTCTATGTTTCAAAATCTTTGATGTAACTTTCATTGGTGTAGTGGATTTCAGTTTGTTGTGCCCGTTGATGTAAGCCTTCTGAGGTGAACCACGTAAATATTTGTGTTCTTGATTATGTGTTTCATGTTTTATTTCTCGTATTTTATTTACCAAAAATCAACCCATTGGATTTAGGGCTTTCACGCATAACGTTCTCTCCCCTGGGCCGAACGCTCTCTCTATTCCAC